ACATGGCATAATTCAAATACTTTTAATATTTATAAAAGTAGAAATTAATCAATAAGGGTATAACTGTATTTGCCTTGTATTCCCATATTTGTGTCTTTAGGATTGTTCTTCTGTATTCTAGATAGAGATAATCCTTTAAACCTTGGTCTTTGATCCCCCAAAAGAATAGAGGGAACAAAGAGAAAAAGAGACCTACCAGTTCTGTCTGGGCAGCAGTAGTTCAATATAAAAATTACCATGGGTAAACAGACTTTGAGCAATATAATTCCTATAAGCTCCATGAGATCAAGAATTATATATCTTACACTTTTCTTCTAGTCCCTTTAGTGCTTTGAACACAGCAGGTACACTTTTAAAACTGAAAACTGTTGAGATCTCATTGCTTAGGTAGACAGGTCAGGAACCATTTCTCTATCAAAGGCTACAGAGGCACAAAAAGCATCAATCTAGAGCCTTATATAAAAAGCTATTCAGTTTCATTTACTGAAGAAATATAATTAATTCACCTCAACACTTTATTTGGGAAAGACAGCATATTAATGGACAGCTAGGTGGTGCAGTGGATAGAGCACCGGCCCTGGATTCAGGAGGACCTGAGTTCAAAGCTGGCCTCAGACACATAACACTTACTAGCTGTGTGACCTTGAGCAAGTCACTTAACCCCATTGCCTAGCCAAAAAAAAAGAGTACAATAACATTAGTTATATGTTGTAGTTCATTGACGTGATGGTGGGGGGGGAAATAAGGGTGTAGAAGGGAAAGGAGAAAAGTTTGAAAAAAATGGAGTAGAGACAAGATAGGAAATAGGAGAGACTCAATAGCAACAGTTTATCCTTTTAAAAGTACTTTATCTTGTTCAACAGCCCTACACATTATCTCACTGATCCTCATAATGACCTTGTGAGGCAGGTGATACAAATGGTTGTGTCCCTTTTTACAGATGAGGAAGCTGTGGCTCAGAGCTTAGCCACTGGATAAAGGACACAGGGCTAGTAAATGTGTGAGTCCAGACATACTCTGTACCACAGGTTCTTAACCTTGGGGTCCATAAACTTTTTTTTTGACATGTACACTTCAATATAATTGGTGTACTTTGTAAACTTTTGCATTTTATGCATTTAAAACATTCTGAGAAGGGATCTGTAACCTTTACCAGAACGTTAATGGGGAATTGGAGCTAAAAAAGTTTAAGTCTTCTGCTCTATATTCTTGTCAAACAGAAACACTCCGTTGTCTGGACAGAGCCTGTGTGTTCTCACCCCGTGCCTTGCTCCTCCTCTTCTCAGTGTCTCCCAACTGGCTGAGTGACCCTGGTCATGTTGGACTCTATAAACTATACAGTCCCTTTCATTCCAGCAATTTCTATGAACACCTAATTGGTTGATTGACCATGTTCTTGGTTTAAGCTTTAGAGGAAAAGGCAGCAGCATGATGTTGTGAATATACTTTATGAAGTCCAGAGACTTAGGTTCAGATTCTGCTTCTGACATTTACCAGCTGTGAGATCATGGCCTAGTCACTTAACTTTTCTGAGCATCTTCTGTTAATTCAATAAGTTCAATTCAATAGATACTTATTAAGCATCTAAAATGTGCCAGGCACTGGGCAGTTGGGGTAAGAACAGTAGTATATACCACACAATATAGGTGTGAGAACCAAATCAGATAGTGTATAGAAAGTACTTTGTAATTCTTAAAACACTATATGAATATCAGCTAGTATTAGAGACTTTATTCGTGGAAATACAGAACAACCCACCCGAGCGTGGAAATTGTTGTCTGGCTTATATTAGTTATCACAGAAATATCACCCAAAGATAAGACTTTTCCCTTGTCACCATCAATCTCTAGGTATGTCACCCTATCTAGATCCTGGTGGCTAATTTCTGCTGGTAGGCAATCATTCTCACTCCTTTCTCAAGCAGTTTGGTTTCCAGATCTCAGTCTTCCTTTTCACCTCAATCCCCACCCTTATGCTTGGGTACTTCACTTTATATGTTGATGTACCCTCAAATATCTACAGTTTATCAACCTCCCTAGTTCTTGTGATTTGCATCTTCTTTGTACCTCAGCAACATAAAGGCCATACCCTTGATTTCTCCTCATTCAGAGGTGTTCCATCTCCCAAATACACACTTCATCTGACCATAACTTAACTGCCCTTCATCTCTCTTTATGTCTAGCACCTTCTAAACTTGCCCTCACTTACTTTCTGATGCTCTATTGCTCCCTGTTTTTCACTCTTCAGGCTTTCAACCCTTTAGTTAACCCTTTAATTCATCTTTATACTGTTCTCTACCATTTAGATCCTTGCCCCTTGTCCTGTCACCACTAATTCCTTTCCAAATCCCAACCCTGGATTATTTTCACCATCTGTCTTGTCCCCTTCCTACTTATATGTTAATGAACACCACTGGAGAAAGTCATACAATCCTACTGACTAGGTCTACTATACATTTATGTTATGTAATCTCAACTGGGCTCTCACTACTGCACACCAATTCCTAGACTCTTCTCTATTCGCCTCTATCATTTTCTTCACAACTGCTATTCCATACCTTCTTTTTTTTCATCAGGTCTCTCTACCCCTACCATTTTGCCTTTCCCCTTCAGTAGAACACTTTGCTTTAAAACTCACTGAATAAATTGAGGCCTTATTTTTGTGAACTTCCTTTTCTACAGTTCTACTCTTTAAATCACTTTAATATCATCCTACCCTCTCTGCTCCTTTGCTCAGAAGATGAAATGGCTCTTCTTTTTTTTCTTTTAGCATCCACTAATGTTATATGATTTTTATAAATGAGCATAAACCTAAAAATGTCTCTGGAATCTCTTCAACTCTGAAATACTGGGATTTATTAATGAAGTTAAATTTAATTAAGTAGCCTACACACACACACACATACACACACACACACACACACACACACACACACACACATACACATAGAGTCCCTCATTATGAATAAGATATATTCCCAAAACAAAATTATAAATGGTAACTGGGTTCATAGGCCAGCATACAAAATCCAGTTTAACTCCTTTGTACATTAAATATGCATTTACAACTAAAAATAGAGGAAAAGTATCCTATTACAGTTGTACAGTGTAGTATTTTAATTATACACATTCTTCCAGTCCTTATAGCTCCTAGTACTAGAGGCTTTCAGAAGTTTCAGTTTAGCCATTCTCAACTTTAAAATTTATTCATAAGAAAATGTGAATAATTGATATTATAGAAAGAGCACTGGAATGTTTGGCTGGACTGTGGGAAGCAATAGTGGCACTAATTACATCTCTCTAAGGTTATAACTTAACAGAGGAGTAACTGATATGCTTTAGTGGAGGGAAATTCCATGTACTGATGAACACAGAGGTTCAAACAAAACTAAAAAAGGATAAATGAATGAAAGAATGAATAAAAACACATTACTAAGTGCTTACTATGTTTCAGGTTTTGTGATAATCACTGGGAATACAAATACAAAAAGGGAAATTTTTTCCTGCCCTCAAGGATTTTACATTCTTTTTTTGCCCAATTAATTATATTTTTAATATTCATTTTTAAAAATTTTAAATTACAAATTCTGTACATCCCTTTCACCCCTCCCCTACCCATTGAGAAGGCAAGAAATATGATATGGATTATTCATGTGAAGTCAGGAAAACATATCCCCAAACCAGCCACACTCCAAAAAAACCCAAAGAAAGCAAGAAAAATAAAGTGAAATAAGTATGCTTCAGTCTGCATTCAGAGTTCATCATTTCTTTCTCTGGATGTGGATACATCTCTTATCATGGGTGCTTTAGAATTGTTTTGGATAATCAGAGAAGCTAAGTCTTTCATGGTCAATTCTTGTTACAATATTGCTGATACTGTGTACAATGTTTTGCTGGTTCTACTCACTTCATGTTGTATTAGTTCATATTAGTTGTCTCAGGCTTTTCTGAAACTATCCTGCTCATCATTTCTTATAGCACAATAGTATTCTATTACAAATACATACCACTGTTTGTTCAGCCATTCCCCAATTGATGGGCATCCCTTCAATTTCTAATTCTTTGCCACCACAGAAAGAACTGCTATAAATATTTGTGTACACATAAGTCCTTATCCTTTTTTTTTTAAGTTCTTTGGGATACAGACATAGTAGTGGTATTGCTGAGTAGAAGGATATGCACAGTTTTATAACCTTTTGGACATAGTTCCAAATTGTTCCCCAGAATATGTGGACCAGTTCACAACTCTACCAGCAATACATCAGTTTACCTATTTTTCTACATTCTCTCTAGCTTTTGTCATTTTCCATTTCTGTCATGTTAGCTAATTTGAAAGGTATGAGTTAGTACCCCAGAGTTGTTTTAATTTGCATTTCTCTAGTCAATAGTGATTTAGAGCATTTGTCATGTGACTATTGATAGCTTTGATTTCTTCATCTGAAAATTGCTTGTTCATATTCTTTGGCCATTTATCAATTGGAGAATGGCTCTTATTTTTATAAATTTGACTCACTCTTCTTTATATTTGAGAAATGAGGCCTTTATCAGAAAAAGTTATTGTAAAAAAAAAGATTTTTCCCCCCAGTCTCCTAATTTGCTTCTAATTTTGGCTATATTGGTTTTGTTTGTGCAAAAACTTTTTAATTTCATGTATCAAAATTATCCATTTTGCTTCCCATGAAGGGATCTTAAATTCTAGTAGAAGTAGACAATACATAGGAGAGGAGTAGCCAGGGAGCAGTATTTTCATTTGGAAAGTTTGTTTTAGATACTAAGTGGAACCATAGGCAAAGAGATTGATGTGCTTTAGAGAAGTTAAGATTCTTATCCAGCCACTAAACTAGTTAGTGACAGAACCAGGACTCGAACCCAGATTTCCTCATTATCAACCCATCATTCTTTCTGTTATGACATTGATTCTCCTGTTCTTGGTCTTCTGTCTCAGCTTATCCAAATAACTACATACACATTTGTCTCCTACCCCGCTTGCTTCTTCTGTAGGACTTCCTGTGGCAGATAGGTGGCAGAGTGGATAGTGTGCCTGGAGACAGGAAGACCAGAGTTCAAACTGAGCCTCAGACACTTACTAGCTGTGTGACCTTGAGCAAGATTTTAAAGACTTACATTGTGTTTGATTCAATTTTCTCAACTGTAAAATGAAGGTAACAATAGCACCTCCCTCCCTTATTGTGAGGCTCAATGAGATATCTGTAAATCATTTAGCACAGTTTTCAGGTACATAGTAGATGTTCTATAATAATAATAACAATAATAATAATAATAATAATAATAGCAGTTATTATTATCACTATTCCTGTTTTTCTAGCCTCTTTATCATTCTCTGAAATTCTCTCCCCTTCTATATTTATCTCTCCTCCACCACTGTTACACCACCCACTACCCAATGTGGAGGTTTTTTTTATTTGTGGAAGCCTTATTATTTTTTGTCTTCCTTTCATTTCTGGTAGGAAGGCTGTGTCCCCAGTGGGATACAGGCCAGGCTGGGCTGGAGCCAGCTGTAACAGACTTGAGAGAGCCCACTGTTAATAATTCTGATTAAACTTAAAAGTATGCGTGCATGCATTTTTTTCTTGGAGCCAAGTTGGTAAAAATTTAACAGGACACCTCTATCTTGCTATATAAGCATTGCTAAAGTTCTGTGGGAGTGCAATAGAAAGCTCAGGGAATGAAGTCATCACCAGATATAGGTCTTGTGACTAATCATAATCATAATAACTAGAATTTACATAGTGTTTTATGGTTTGCAAAATGCTTTACATCCATTCTCTTCTTTCAGCCTCACTGTACCCCCTTGAAAAGGCAGAGAAAGAAGAAGAGGTACTGAAAGCTTTATTTGCTCACTTCCTAATTGTTCCTGGTCCCTGCCTAGTTTTCTTTGAATTGTGTATAGAAAAATAAAAACTGTTTGAGATACTTAAAATGCAAGTGGCCCTTTATGATTGATAGCTTATAGGAAACGGTGCTTCTTACTTCCTACCTGCAGTATGCCCTGGCTTACCTGTCACTAGAGAAAACCATTCACAGTAGCAATAACTATGTTAAAGTAATAATACAGTATTTTAAAGATGATTTATAATTTCTTGCTAGATTTACATTATTTGGAATGTTACTATCAAATTATATTGAAATACAGCTATCAAATATTTCAAAATATTTTTACACAAATCAAACCCCAAGTTAAGTACCTTTGTGGTATATCTGTTGTACTAGATTTGATATTTCTATCTGTGTCTTAAGCTAAGGTCTTCTTTTCTCACCCTAAAACATGCCTTTCATTGTATTACTTACTACTTTAAGTAAGCATTTGAGGTACTTGCTCTCGCCGTTTTTATGACATGCGTATAAGATACCCTGTTCCGTCTAATTTGTCTTTCTGATGCAGGCTACCTGGAATGCTTGCCATTATGAACTACCTTTATGTACCTTATTTTCCCTAGACTGCTGTTTATTTTATTCTGCTCACATTTCTATTTCTATTTCATTGAATGAAATAAATCTGAAAATAATGCTTGATGTTTTAGTGCCCATGAATCCAGGGTTCAAACTTAAGGCAGCAAAGTATAAAGTACTTTTAAATTTCAAGATAATTAGACTTCATTTAAATTGTATTTCTTGGTCTTCAAAATTTAAAGCATTAAAAGAAATTGATCCTGAAAGAGTACTGTATGGAGCAATCCTATTTCCAATTTAAATGTGCTATACTTTGGAGTTTGGAGGCAGAGAGAATAAACAAAAAAACCCAAAGTATATAGATTATACATACACACATACATACATACATACATACATACATATATATGCATAGCTATATAATATATACAAATTACTATCTAGTTGACTCTTCAAGAAAAAAATATATCATTTAATCTAATTTGCCATAATGGATGAAGTGGGCTAGGTATACTGCTTTCTGCCACTTACAGAGAAGCAGGCTACCAACTAATTTATTAAGTAACCATCTAGGAAATGCAGTACATACATACATACACACATACATACATACATACATATATATATACATATACATATTTATATAGCCACAAAGTGGCACTACTATCAGGCCACCAGCCAAGTGATCATTGTCAGAGATTGCAGAGTCTACATTTGCCTGCTTTTCCAGACCATTGTATCCCAACTGCTCATCAGAGGGCCTCCCTTATAACTACTCCCAGGTATGAACTCTCCAGGACTCCTGAGTCAGTGTTGGTGATCTTGTAGTCATATAAATCTAACTATTAGACCTGGAATATATTTTAGAATTAGTAAAAGGAAGAAAATATCTCATTTCACCTTTGAGTTCCCACCCTGTATTTGGGAAATTTACTATTCCTGCATGACCAAGCCACCTCATTCATAAGCTTTAGATGATTTTCTTTCTCATGTTCACATGTGTTATGGCTGTGCAATAAGATAACAGTCATAACAGGGATCGTAGCAGGAATTATAAGGACAAAGTTTACTAGCAAAACTGGGGAGTGGGGAAGCCTGCTTTGTCTCATTGACTCCTTTCTCCCCACACCACCTTAACGATGGTGGGTATGAAGAATGAAGAAGAGAAAGGAAAGGATCTTGGGTTCAGAACTCACCAAGATTATCTCAGTCACTAAGAGGAAAAAGAGGGAAGCCCTGGCATTCAGAACCCATTGGTCTCACCCCAACTGAGATGTTTCATCTGCATCCAGTTCCATACATTCTTTCCTTCATCTTGTCTCCACTACACTGCTTTGTCTCATCTTGCTGGTCCCGCACTGGTCCAGGTCCACTCACTATTGGCACAGTCTTCCAGGATATGTCCCAGCTCCTATTTTGCTGTACCTACTTCAGGCTACAGTGACAGCACTGACAGAGAGCCACAATTTGCCTTGCTACCAGCTCCCAAGTCTCTCAGAAGCCCTTCCATCTCTAGCCCAATAAAATGAATGACATGGTGGCTTCTGAATTAGAGCCTCTAGCTTCTCAATTCCCCATTACATGACAAGAATGAAATTAAATGGAAGATGGGCAGTTTGTCTCCAAATAATGCCTACAAAAAATAATCTAGAGTCAAACAAGGCCGACCTTATGTGACTGCTGACAAAATCTACCTTCTTTCAGGAGATGATCAGTGGATTCTTTTTATTTTTACTTTAATGCAGAGTTTGCTGGGGAGTAGTGTGGAGACACTAATTTTCTGAAAAGACTTTATATAGGAAATGCCTTTTGAGCTGAGATTTGAAGGAATCTCAAGATTCTGAGGGTTGGAGAGGAGAGAGTGTATCCTTGCAGGTAGGTACAGTCTGTACAAATGTATGGATATGGTAGATAAAATATCATGTATAAGGAACAACCAGAAGATTGGTTTGGATGGACCATAGAGTGTGTAAAGGGACATATTGTCTAATAATCCTGGAAGGTTTGGTTGGAGCCATTTTTTGAAGAGTTTTAAATGCTAACCAGAATAGTCTGTATTTAAGCTTAATTAAGAACCACTGTAACTTTTTTGAGCAAGAGAATGATATGGTCAAACCTATGTCTTTGGAAAACTATTTTGAGGCCTGTGTAGAAGACCAGTTGTAGTGGATAAAGATGAGGTAGGGAGATTATTTAGGAGACTATTACAATTGTCCAGTCAAGGGGTGCTGAGGACCTGAACTAAGGCAGTGTATGGATGAATAGAGAGAAGGGAACAAATATAATACAGGGAGAATTGACAGTTCTTGACAACATTGTATATATTGAGTAAGAATAAGGAGTCAAAAATGACTCCTAGGTTATTGGAAAAATAGTAGTGCCCTCACTAGAAACAGAGAAATTTATAAGGAATATGAATTATCAGGGAAATATCGAAAGTTCTGTTTTAGACACTTTGAGTTTGAGATAGTTACAAGAGATCCAGTTTGAAATGAATAATAGAATGATGAGTAAGAAGCAGTCAGATGGGTAGATGTCTAACCAAGAATGTGCAGGGTCACAAAATCCCAGAAAAGAGGGAACATCCAGGAAGAGAGAATGATCAGTGTCAAATGCAGAGATTTAAAAAAAAGAATTGAATAAAAAATAATCAGATTTGGCGATTAAGTTATCCTTGGTGAATTTGGAGAGAGATATTTCAATAGTGATGAAGTCAGGACCCAGTTGTAAAGGTGTAAGGAGTAAATGAAGAAGAAGAAATGGGGACAAATCCAAACAGCTCCTTCTAGGAGTTTAGCTGTGAAAGAGAGGAGAGATATAGGATGATAGACTTTAGAAATAGTGACATAAAGTGAGGGTTTTTAAGAATAGAAAGACCTAAGAGTGTTTGTAGTCTGTAGTGAATGAGGCAACAGATAGAGATTGAAAATTAGAGAGAACAAGAATGATGCTTGTTGGGGCCATCCACAAGAGGGAATGGGATCAAGGGTACAAGTGGAATGGTTGACCTTTGAGAAAAGAAGGACCACCTTTCGATTGGAGACTAGTAAATGAGTAGAGAATGGAAGATGATATCAAGGTATGTTTTAAGGGGGGAAAAGAAACATAGAATAAATAGAATAATAAAAGTTACCATGTTTATAGTGCTTTTATGTTTATAAAATGATTTTTTTGTTTGTTTAATTTTTAGTGAGGCAGTTGGGGTTAAGTGACTTGCCAAGTCACATGGCTAGTAACTATTATGTGTCTGAGGCCAGATTTGAACTAAAGTCCTCCTGACTCCAAGGCTGGTGCTCTATCCACTGCACCATCTAGCTGCCCCCTTATAAAATGATTTCCAAACATCTCATTTTACCTTTACAATAATCCTGAAAGGTAGATGCTATTATTATTCCCAATTTACAGATGAGGAAACTGACATAGCAGTTAAATGACTTAACCTTACTAATTATACAGCTGGAAAGTATCACAAACCAGATTTGAATTCAAATAGTCTTCCTGACTCCATGTACAGCACTCTATCCACTGTGTCACCTAGTTTCCTATGTACATACATATTGAAACTACTTCTTTAAAATGAATACACATATATCCCTAACTTTTCAGAAGAGGAGGCTCTGTCATCTCTGCACATTCAATTTTCATTACTGTTATAATGCTAAAATGCTGTATGTGTGCAAACTAGTGCTTTGACATAACATTGGATGTGAACATTAATTTTCATTGATAGTTAATATTTTAGAAAAAAATAAAGTAAAAATCCTAGAGTTTTACAATTAAATGTTTTAACTAGATATACTCATTAGCTTTCAGTTGTAGTCAGGAGCACTTTTCATACAATTAAAAATAGAGCAGCAACTTTTAGAACTGAGGTATTTTGTCACGAAAATTAATCAGCTTTTTTTTTCCTTTTTAGTTCTAAGGACAGCTTACATTCACCATGGACTGCTCACAGGAGTCTCTTAGATGGGCCATGTGTAATGGAATTCCACCTGATAAGAAAAGCAACTCTCTTGTAGCTGAAGAACATGGGCAACAAATTTTAAATGTACTACAGAATTTTAGAGAGAAGAATGCCTTTTATGATTTTAAGATAATTGTAAAAGGTGAAATAATCCCATGCCATCGTTGTGTATTAGCAGCATGCAGTGACTTTTTCAGGTAAACAGTTTCTTTCTGATTCAAATTTCAAATTCTGGATAATGTAGATAATTCATATTATGAAGTCGACATTTCATAATGTTTTAAATATGTCTTCTGTTCATCATAGGATGATGTGTTCCTTGATAATTTGTGTTCCTTGAAAAAAAAAAAAGATGTCCACAAGTGAAATCAAGGTTAAATATTGTGACATTTGCCTTCTTTAATAGGTTGGAAATGCAGGACCATCTTTATTAAAGGTGATTATGTCTTCCTGATTCCTAAATCTGAAATTCCTGTCGGCTGCCAACAGATGCTATTAGAAGGCACGTAAATCTAACAAATAGGCTCTCCTCAGGCATTGGTAAATGAACGAAATAAGACTTAATACACAATCCAGTTGCTTATCCTTTATCAAAATAGAATTCTACTGAAATTATATTGTATCATTTACATATCTCAGAATATGAAAGTAACCCTAAATTCTCACTTATTTAATCTGCCTCTCATCCACCTTTCCTCTCAGTGTCCTATTATTGCGCACACACACACACACACACACAGAGTCATCCTCTTAACCACTGGAGAGTAGTTCCTCTGTATTTTCCCACCAGTAATGATAGGGATTTATTAACAAATCTTCCTCTGATAACAAATAAATTTTCCCCCTGAAATAGTAATTCACATCTTCCACCTACTGCCTTTCTGGTTTTTTTTTTCCTGCTGTACTGATTACTTATTAAATTCTTTAGTGCACTGATGTTCTCTTTGCCTTCTCATTCTCTTAGATAATGTGCAAGTATGTTTTTTTTAAAAAAATCAAAGAACCAACAGATTCTCCCACATTATATTGAAACAAACATCTAATTTGTAAAAGTCTTTAATTTATAAAAGTCTTTATCCTTATTGTTTAGCCACTTTACATATTGAGTACTTTGATCATTGCCAGGCTTGAGAAAAGATACCTCTCCCATTCCCCACTCCCAAGTATAAAGGTGTTAATTGCAAAAGGCCAAAGAGTTAGATGAGTAATGGAAGAAGAGACCTGGGGGATCTCTTATTGGATGACCTTTATTTTATTAAGTAAGCAGGATACTAGGTTATACTGTAACAGTGTTGAGAGGATTATAAGAATGAGATAGGAAGTTGATAAAGACACTAGAAGAATTTGGGAACAGTAGTTATAGAACATGCACATGAAACTCACACGGCAAGATTTCTCTGTAATAACCTCATTTCAGGAAAGATTCACATGGCATCTTCATCATATTCATTCCACTGGCCTGGGTTTCAAGTTACTTATTAATTACTTATATCCATATATATTAGGTGTTATTCTGTAATAGGTGCTTAGTGTTTTTCCCTACCTTTGAAAACAGACCTGTTAGCAGAAGAAGCAAAGCAATGATTATGATGTAAATGGAAAGAAGAATAACATAAAAAAGAAACTGAAGGTGATGCAATTATAATGGTCAAACTTAGCCTTGAAAAATTTACCTTTCTACCTTCATTGCAGAAGTTGGGGGGAGGAGTACGGTGGTAGAGTGAGGGGTATGGTGGGTGGGTAAGGGATATGAACATGTATATTGGCAAATCCAGTCAATGTATTGGTTAGTTTTTCTGAACTACTTTCTTTCTTTCTTTTTTAAATTTTTGTTATAGTCACCGAGTAAGGGAGTCATATTCAGAAATGAATATGATATAAAAATAGAAGGAATCAATAAAAATAGATATATCTAAAATAATTAAATTTGGGGGGAGAAAAAGGAAGCCCACCTATTTTTAATCACAGAGGGACTTTGCCTTAAGCAAAACAAAAAGGTAGCTCTTAAAACAAATTTACATAGTGTTTTCTTCATAAATGTTACATTAATTTTCAAAGGAATGAGACCTTACCATTCAAAGCTGTTCATTTATGAAAAATAAATATGATAAGTATGCACTGTGAAGGATACTTGTACTCTGTATTTAAAAGATTACAGGCATGTGCTACCATTCCAGGCCCTTTATTTGATCTTCAGAGAGAATGAAAATTCACAGATTTTTTCTTCAGAGATATACATATTAACAATTAGAAACAAAACCAAATCAGTTCTGACATAAACCAGAAAGAAAGTTATTAAAACAATTCTCACTATTAATAAATCATCCAGAGGGTTTCAGTAAATGTATATACAGATTAAATGTGAAGACATTTATAAATGTAAATTTAAAAAGTAATATATATTATATTATGTGATAATGCTGCTGCTTGACATTATTGATGAGTTATATGAACATCATGATAATATGAGTTAAATATAGAAATTGAGGTTGGCATTAGAGTAATCTAAGTGTATTTGAAAGCATTTTTAAAAAATAAAAATAGGACTGCCGTCAAGGGTGCAGGATGTTACAGTGGAAAGAGTCCTGGGTTTAGAATCAGAGGATTTGGATTAAAGTCCTGGACCTTCCACTTTTAACTTGTGTGACACTGAAAAAGCCCCTTCATCTCTCTGGGCCTCAATTTTCCCATTTGTAAAATGAGGAAGTTGGACTAAATGATATCTGAGGTTACCATCTGCTCTAAATTTATGATCCCGTGAACACGTGTAACCATTCCAAATCTGATTCCTGTTTCCCATTATTGCCCTTAGAGTATTTAGAGAAAACCATCTTCTCCCTGAAAAATCCTAGTGGAAAGAATTTTACATCTGGTCTAGATATGGGATGGCATAAAATCTAAAATATGAATGCCATCAATCCATTAGGACATATATTCAAGTAATACGGACAAATCCTACTCCCATTTTTCAAAACATTTTCCTTGGGGAAACTAAAAACTGAAGAGAAAACCTGAGGAGATTAGTAAGTATAAGAGCAAAAAGTCACATTCAGATCTCCTAATTCCAAATCTAATTTCCCCCATACTACACTGCCTCTCAACATACCATCCTACTAAATAGTCTTGAGTTGATGCAGCTGAAAAAACTCATCAACAGATGGCCAGGCTTATACACAGACAAACACACGTGCATGAGCACACACATACACTCCCCCCACATGCATATATACATACATACATACATATATATATATACACATATATGTGTGTGTGTGTGTGTGTGTGTATAAACTGGACAAATAATTTAATCAGCCAGTAAACATGTATTAAACACCTACTATGTGCCAGGCACTATGTGCATTCAAATTACGTATGTGTAATGTGTAACCAGTATGTTTAAAAATATATTCCTTAAGATCTTAAAACTTTAATTTTAGATCAGTATAGAGGCAAAGAGGAGGAAATATTATTTACCATTCATATATTATTTGCTTTTGTTTTTGCAGGGCTATGTTTGAAGTAAACATGAGAGAACGAGATGATGGGAGTGTTACCATTAGTAATTTGTCCCCCAAAGCAGTGAAAGCTTTTCTTGATTATGCCTATACTGGAAAAACAGAAATAACAGATGACAATGTGGAAATGTTCTTCCAGTTGTCATCATTTCTTCAAGTTTCACTCCTTTCCAAAGCTTGCAGTGATTTTTTAATAAAAAGTATTGATCTTGTCAATTGTTTACAATTATTAGCCATATCAGATAGCTACGGTGCTTCCCATTTGTTTGACCATGCACTTAAATTTGTACAGCATCACTTTTCCCTGCTACTCAAATCCACAGACTTTTTAGAGATTAATTTTGGAGTACTGCAAAAATGTTTGGAAGCAGATGAATTAAATGTTCCTGAAGAAGAATCTGTTTTGAAAGCAGTTCTTAATTGGACCAAACATAACCTGGAATCAAGGCAAAAGCATCTGCCTCATTTAATGAAAAAGGTACGCTTACATCAGTTATCTGAGGAGACTCTCCAGAACTGCCTGCTCTCTGAAGATCATTTATTCAAAAGCACTAAGTGCTTTGACATAATCAGGGATGCAATTAAATGTGTGCAGCGTTCCAGTGGACTCTTTCCAGATGCACGTCCATCCACAACTGAAAAATATATATTTGTTCACAAAACTGAAGAAGCAGGAGAAAACCAGCACACATTTTGCTATAATATTAAAACAGATAAATGGAAAGTGCTGCCACAGACTCACATGGTTGATTTGCCTGGGTCTAGTCTATCTAGTTATGGAGAGAAAATATTCATGACAGGTGGCTGCAAAGGGAAATGTTGCAGAACTGTTCGACTCCACATTGCTGAATCGTATCATGATGCAACTGATCAGACTTGGTGCTACTGCCCAGTCAAGAATGACTTCTTCTTAGTATCAGCAATGAAAAAACCAAGAACCATGCACACATCAGTTGTGGCTCTCAATAAATTGTTTGTTATAGGTGGAAAGACTAGAGGAGCTCGGGACATTAAAAGTCTGTTGGATGTTGACTCTTACAATCCTCTTTCCAAAGAGTGGTTATCTGTAAGCCAGCTGCCTAGAGGCATATACTATCCAGAAGCAAGTGCATGCCAAAATGTGATTTATGTTCTTGGATCTGAAGTAGAGATTACTGATGCTTTTAATCCGTCTCTTGATTGTTTTTTTAAATATAATGCCACAATTGATCAGTGGTCTGAACTAGTAGCAGAATTTGGCCAGTTTTTTCATGCAACATTAATCAAGGCAGTGCCAGTAAATTCCACTCTGTACATATGTGACCTTTCTACCTACAAGGTTTATAGTTTTTGTCCAGACACTTGTGTTTGGAAGGGAGAAGGATCTTTTGAATGTGCAGGATTTAATGCAGGTGCAGTTGGAATTGAAGATAAAATTTACATATTAGGTGGTGATTATGCTCCAGATGAAATTACAGATGAAGTGCAGGTCTACCACAGCAACAGATCTGAGTGGGAAGAAGTATCACCAATGCCAAAGGCATTAACTGAATTTTACTGCCAAGTGATTCAATTCAACAAATACAGGGACCCCTGGTTTTCTACTTATTTGTATTAGCAGCATGTAGTAGAACCTCTTTCTAAAACTATTTCAGTTCCAAAAGACATTTATAGTAAACTCTGCTATCTGGCGTGACTGGGGAAAGGCTTGTACTTGCTAATCAAAAACTATCGTTAACGGAGAACTACCACATAAATTCATAAAGATGTGTTATTTATATGCAAATGCATACATACATGTGTATATGTGTGTAATTCATAGATGCATATGCACATGTAGTTAACAGTTCTTTAAGAATCTGGAAGATTTAAGAAAAAAAAAAACATTTAATACCAAAACATCAGGGGTGGCCACAGACAATCTACTTTGTTATAAAGGTATTGCAGAATGTATTGGTAGAAGAAGGATCAACTCAAGGAAATTAAAAATCCTTGAGATATTGAAATAACACTAAAACAATTCTGAGGACAACTTAATCTTACTCTGAAGATTCACAAGTCTGCTAGAAAGACTTTTATACATATTAAAGTCTTCAGCTTGGATGATTTAATGATTTAAATACCTAATCCATGGAACTTTGTTCAAAGTATAATACAAGCAAAGCTTATTGACCTTAGCTATTAGAAGAAAATTGACTGTCTAGATATTTTTTAAAATAGGCAAAATTTATCATAATCTGTTATGTAAAGTATAAGAAAAAAGAAATAAGAAATGGTTGGGATTTCTTAAATTCCTATCTTTCCCTTAGGAAAAAGCAAGAAGGCTCTGGAAAGTCCCAGGTAGGTGGGGGAGTAAAGAACAGTTATTTTGGATGTTTGTAAGGAAACAATTCTTTATTCTTTTTTTTTGACTCCTATGCCATTGCCATGGGAGACTATTTGAACTATCATGCTTTTCCCCAACTCTGGTCATAAACAGAGGTAGTTAAGAAAGAGATCTGGTTAGTGAGTGAGAATACCAGATAACAGAATGTTTACTATGTAAGCATTTTAATTTGCAGAGATTATGATTTTATACATATATACACACATTTAACAAATATCAGTTTGGAAGTAAGATTTTTTTTTTAACATCCACACAATTCTATGGTTGTTATATATTTGATTTATACCTGGGATCACAGATCTAGAGCCGGCAGAATCTTAGAGGCCAGCACCCTCATTTTATAGATGAGGCCCTGAAAAGTGAAGGTACTTGCCCAAGGGCACATACATGTGATTAATTGAAATTTATTTCATTAATTATTTTGTCATTGACTTGTGAAGCCTTTTTTTAAACTATGAACTTAAACGCAGATGAACATGAGCATTTCAGTATACAAAGAAAAACAAAAGCAGATCATATATGAAACTGTGAACTTTTTTTTTTTTGGTCAAGAGTTCATTTTACAATACAAGACTAACATTATTTAACCCTCTATAAAAACCCATCACATTTTTTAGTTAAAAAATTACTTGGTATAAAGTACTTCACTACCTTGTAGAACCCTGAGTTATTTTGAGGTTTTATCTATTTTTGCAATAATCTCCTTTCCTAATCATAATTAGCTAAAGCCTCCTGGGCTAGGGCTATTTGTGCATCCAGTATTTGACAATGCATGATTTTGCAATGGGTTGTTAAAATGTGTCCAAATGTGATGCACATGGCTCTTTCTCCCAAACTGTAAACCCCTTATACTTTCCTTATAAGAACCAGAGCAAAGCTGAATACCAAGAATATGCTAGCACGTTGCTCTAGTTTGCTAATAATAATTGATTTTACATAGTGCTTTAAAGTTTGCAAAGGCTTTACGTGTTTTATCTCATCTGAGCCTCACAGGAACTGTGTAACATAGGTAGTGTAGATATTTTTTGACAAATTTGAAACAGAAAGATTAAATTACTTGTCCATCATCATGTAACTAGTAATGTCAGAGACAGGTTTCAAATTCAGGTCTTTTTAATTGAGTTCAGTCCTTTTCTAGATCCAGTACTTTGCTCACTAAGGCACATTGCTCCTTGATATTTAGTTTATCCAGTTTCTCTCAAAAGCTTAGGTGAGCTTACTTAATTATCACTCAGTTGAGGTAAACTGAAAATTTACCTACGTTTGACATTGGTTGGAAAGTAAATATCAAATGTAGCCTAGAAAATAACTGAAATCTCTCACTGCCCCCACCTTTATCAAGGGGAGACATCTTTTAAAATGAAATACAATACTGTATACCTCATTTATCTGATAGCATTTGAGGTGTCTCATATTTTTATGTTGGCCTTCTTAATGGAAAGCTTCCTAAAGTGTATTACATATTTCCCTGCCTTCATATATGTTGTCTTATGCTCCAAATATACTGAATATAATTTAATCTTTTATTGAGGCACCAAGGGACAGCACAACATAGGGAATAGAGGACCAGCACTGGAGTAAAGATGACATGCTAGTTTATGTAACACTGGGCAAAACACTTAACCTCTGAGTACCCTAGACAACTCTCTTACTATAGACTAAAAGTTGTAGAGCAGTTGTTGATTTGCGTTGGCAGAGAAAGCTTACTCTGGGAAATTTCCTGTGCAATGAAATTATAGGTCCAATTTTTTTTTTAATTCTTGACTCAGTGTCATCATCCTGAATTATGCTGTAATGAAGTGATACCTGGATGGGTTAGTGACATGTGTAATGGTGCTGATGTCTCCTTTACTCTTAGCTTAGCTTTTTTCAGTGCTTCAGGTTCCAGTAGCACCATCCCCTTGCAGTTTCTAGTCTGCTGCCCTGGCTTATGAAAGGTTGTTTAATTTTGCATACAATTCTAAGCTGCTACCTCTGACCTAAGGATAGTTCTAAAACTGTCCTGTGGAGAAAAGTGCATGGCTTTATAACAGTTATTTTCCTTTAAGGTAAATTTCCTAGCTATGCCCTACATGAATGAGGTCTGCTTTCTGGATGAGTAAGCCATTAATGAATTTGCATTCCTTAAAATTATAAATACCCAAATTTGAACTTTAGTAAGACGTTTCATGTCTTGAAGTGTAACTATGCTCCTTACGATTTGTGAATGTAATTATGCTAAATACAAAGCATGTTAATTTGGCACTAGTCAAAACTATATAATATTGTTTTCTGAATTAGAAAAAGAACTGGCTGTTTTTGTATTTATAGTATATATACATGCTTTAGAAGTGTGCCTTATAATGGAATTATTGATTAAAACTGGTATTTTTACTATACCATATAAACTTATAGAAAGCATTTGATTGCTATGTGATGTGTTCTTTTTTTATGTATGCCAAATTTGAACAAAACTCTTAGTAAAGAAAAATCTGATACTTGGAGTTTTCTGAGTTAGAATGTAGGATTTATTGTATTCTATTTTTTTATGTCATTTAAAGGTCAATCAGATGTAATGCTTATATTGACTTCCTCAGCTGATGGCATATTCCTCTGGCAGATGCTTTCCCGCTGTAGTTAAATGATCTGACATAAGAAAAGATTATGGCATAGTGTCCAGAACTATAACTAGAAATTGTTTCACCTGAGGCAAAAACAGCTTGGAGGAAGGTTGCCTAGAAACTTTTACCCCGGAAGGTGAGAAAAATCCATAGGTGGAAGCAAGCCATTTTCTTCTTCCTGATGACAATGGCTAAGAAATTTGATGGGATCACACTCTTTTGACTTCTGTTGATGGCAATCTACTTACATTATAGATTGAATTTTTTTTGAAAAGTCACAAACTGTAGAGTCAAATTTGAATATAGATTTTTTTCCCTAGCTTCCCTTTGATCATATTTGTAAAGTAAGCAGCAATATCATATTTAAGTACTCTAGAATGATTAAGCTAATTTAATTAAGTACATTTCTTCTGATAAAATTAGTCAATTGAACTACTACAAATCAAATACCATCTAAAATTTAATTTTAACCACATGATAACATCTGCAATGCTTATTCCCAAAGAACCCTACTCAATGATAAAACAGCAGGATCTGGAAGGTACATGGGTCATTGAGATCATCTAGTCCAATCTCATTCCTAATACAAGAATATCCTCTACAAAATCTCTGACAGGTGGTTATCTAGCCACTCTTTTAAAGTTTTTCCTTGTATGGAGTTGAACTCACTGTAACTCTCATTCATTGATCCCAGTTCTTCATTCTGTATCTAGTTAAGTCTGATCATGACAGCCCTTCATTTCAAAACAGCCAAATCAGACAGAGGGCTGGCCTTGGAGTCTTTCTTCAAGTTCTTTCTTCAGGTCTTTCTTTTGACATGTGTAATGGTGCTGTCTCCTTTACTCTTAGCTTAGCTTTCTAAGCTATGTCATTTAACCTTTCAGTGTTCCAGGCACCTAACACTATACAGGGATTGCTGAGCTACATTGGTATTAGTTTCCATACTGGGATTTTTCTCTATCAGTGAAATCAGATCCATAAGCAACAATCATATCCCCACTAAGTCTTGCCTTTGTAGGCTAAACATGTAGAGTTCCTTCTGTCATTCTTCATCATACCACTGCCTTCCGTGGTTGTCCTCCTCTGCATCTACTCCAATTTGTCTATGACTTTCTTCAAATGCAGTACCTGCAATTAAACAATATCAACTTTTTCATATAATCTGTTTTACAAAGAATGAATATTGGAACTTTTGGTTTTACTTTAACCTTTCCATTTACACACCACCTGTGCTGCTATGGTCCTCTGTGTTTTAATCATGTAGTTATGTAAATTCTAATTTGGCTGTGATTTGAGGCAACATGCCAGCTCTTCCTTTAAAAGGATATGCATTTTTAAAAATATATCTTCAGTATTTGCAATTTTTTTCTGTTTCTTCATAACAGACTAACTACCTTGTCAAGAGCAAATATATGGAATACAAATTGTACATCTTCCCTCTGGACATAATTACTGATGCTTTGTTGCAGCTGCATTCAGTAGAGGTGGCAAGACATTGCCTTATGCCATCATGTATAAGATGAGATACTTTGCTCTCTGACCTCATCCAAAGTTTAGAAGAATACAGAAGTGGCTATATGTGTTATAAACAATCCGAGCTCACATGATAGACCAAATAACAATAATAGTTCTACTGAAAATGCAGACAACCTATGCTCAATTTATTATTTTAAGGACCCGGAATAGGATAATTAGATGCACAGAGAATTTTTACATCTCATTTTAGCCCTTGATCCACAAAGTTGAGGAACTGAATGATTTGAGTTTCACCTTCTTTCTCTTCCCCTAGATAAAAGTGTTCATGAATAATGAAATGTAGAAAAGAAAGGCAAGACTAAGTTAGAAAGAAGAGAAACAAAGGGCCTAGGACTCTGCATTCTGAAAAATTAATCTGTGGGAAATAAGGAGTTGACAGTAGTACAGTCAGGATCCTGTACCTGAGCCCTTAACTTCCAATCAATTATGTCTGATTAGCCATGGTTGTTACAAGGATTTTACTTTTTTTTTTTTCCTAACTGGGGGAGGGGAGCAGTCAGAGGGAGAAAAAAGAAATGTTAATGGCAAATGTAAAATAATAAGTTCAAAAATTAGTTTTAAAAACCTGCAAATCAGTTCCATGGTTTATATTATCACTTGAAACCTACTGTAAGTTCTTATGGAAAGGAAATCTATGATTTTAAATTCAGATTAAGGATCTCAGTAAGCAAGGATTAATGTCCTAAAAAATTCAACACCAAAGACTCTTTGTGACATTCTTGTAACAAATCTTATTTTGACATAGTCTAGTTTCTTTGGATATTAGATTATTTGGCCAAATCAGAAAGATACTACTTTTATGTTTCCATTTTTCAAATGTGTGTCAATATTTTTTAACAATTGAGTTATTTTTTTACAAATTATTACTGAGAAGTTTGTAGGTATACATAAACCATGTAAGTGAATTGAAGCATGAGGCTATGAATTAAGCACGACTGCAATCCAATCTCAGTTTATAGGTCACTTAGCTTTGTTCTGTTTCACAGATACAGACACAACCTCTAACCCTGAGGGACCTATTGTCTGCATGTCCTTGATTGCTAGAGGGACTAGACTAGAATGTATAAACTGCTGACTTCCACACAAATGAGAAAAATAACTCAAAGTATAAGTCCTATTAAACACAAACACCATCTTTTTGATGTTTATATGAGGGATCAAAGATCTTCAATTTCCTAAGGCATACAGAAGTTAAATGACTTGCCTAGGACCACACAGCTAGTAAATGTTTGAGGTAAATTTGAGTCCAGGTCTTCCTGACTCCCAGCTGTCTTTGTCTGGTGCATGACTATACCATGCTGCTTCTTTAAGAGCAAAATGTGCATTTATAATCTGTATCATAATTTTATATATATATATATATATATATATATATATATATATATATATATAAAATGCAACTTCTTTCCATATAAGAAGGAAACTATTTTGATACATGGCAGGATTTTACATTTTAGATTGCTATCATGTTATAATTTATATATATACAGAAGCATGTGTCCTATTTTTCTGTACAATTTAAAATTTAAACTCAAAGTTTATCAAAGATAATGTATGTACAATCTTAAACATAAATAAAAGCAATCTGAGAGGTTTCTTATTTGCCTAAGTTATTTGAAATGGATTTAATTATTGTTTATATCACTGATTTCCAAAGTGGGGGCCCCATTGCTGCTGTGCCATGTCATGACCCCAAAGGGTAAACCATCAGATAATGTGAAGACGTGTCACATCCTGTCTTCCGAAAATAGCCAATTGTTGGACTTATTTCTAACACAATTATACCATCCCCTTTACCTATTATAATACTTCCCAATTCTGCTCCTTCTAGCAGCTGGCAACCCTTAGGGCTGACTGTGCAAGCTACAAACCTCTCCCATCATGATTGTTTTGCAACCTGTACACCCAGACCAGCTGTACGGGTTCCCTTCTGAAAATCTTACACATACACACATACACACCTCATGCTCTGTACTGCAGGGCAATGGCTGATGAGAAAGAGCCTTTCCACCCCCCCCCCCAGCCCCCAACCCCATTTTGTTTTTGGTAGGACACAGTGACCTGCACAGGATGAACATTCACGGATGGATTGTGATTTCTTTTTTTTTGGCAGATTCTCAGCACATTATTTTTCTCCCTCAACCACCCTTCTTTTAAACTTCCCCATTTCTGTCAAGGGCAACACTATTCCTTCTAGTAATCCCACTGTTATCAATTCCCTTGTTAACTTTGACTCCTTCCTCACTGTTGGCCACCCTCTCCTTCTGTACACTTAATCTTTCCTATATGTGTTACTGAATATGATATAAGCACATTACCTATAAAAACTTTCATATCTATACTCTTTAAAGTTGAAGCATGGGGCAGCTAGGTGGCACAGTGGATAGAGCTCCAGCCTTGAAGTCAGGAGGACCTAAGTTCAAATCCGGCCTCAAATACTTACTAGCTGTGTGACCCTGGGCAAGTCACTTAACTCCAATTGCCTCACCAAAAAAAAAAAGTGGAAGCAATTTCTAACCTGTATTAAAATCTTCCCAGTAAAAAGTTTAGGTGGATTTTGAACTTTGTTAAAATTATAAAAATGTGATACCTGATTTGTAAGAATAACTGCATCAAGGAAGATGGAAATTTATTACATGGATTTCAACAAAAATCTTTGGTAGATAGGGTTTTAAAATGAGCATGGTGGTTTGTGAGCCAATGAAGACTGGTTTGAATGGTATGGTTCCACATCCCAATGATACATGTATGTTAAGGCTGATAAACCAAAAGACTGGGCTAAATTACCTCACCACCCCATGTCTTTGCCACTTTCTAGGTGGCACAGTGGCAGAGTTAAGTTCCCTACGCTCTTGCCCCATATTCTACACTTTTATTAAATAATTTTAAAAATATACTCTCATTCCTGTAGTTCTAACTACACTGTCAGCTTCCCCTGTGGATAACAGGGCAGTCTCCTATTGGTGATATACTGGCTTTTTGTCTGAAACTCAACACAAATTAGAGCCCTGAGGAGATCTGGACCTTCAGCAGGAGTAGCAAAACTGTTACACAGTCCAGAAGCCATCCTACTGTGTGCTGCCCTTAAGTCAAAGGCAAACCCTGTCCCTGAACCCTCCCACCTGCTACACACACATACACCCCCCAAGATTATTTCCTATTAGTATTAAAGATTGGTTAACTGCTAACCTTGTGTAACTCTGCTGGTCTTCATCCAAACTCTCCTTCACTACATTATTTAATAAATATAGTCAAGGATGCATTCCTTCCCTTTGGATGTACACAGGTTTGTGAGATATCTTCTTTAGCTAGGACAATCATTAAAGCCACATATCAAAACAAAAAGAATTTAGAACCAAACCTTCAAATCACCATATCACAAAGTGTAAAACCAAGATTTTGAAAAACAATGAAACATATTTAATCAAGTTCACCTCACTACAATATAATTGGTGGAGTAGTAGATAGAATAATGGACTTGGAGTCGGTAGGAGCTAAGTTCAAATCTTTCCTCAGATATTAGCTCTGTGACCCTGGGCAAGTCACTTCGTTGCTCTCAGCCTCAGTTTCCTCAACTGTAAAATCAGGATAATAATAGCGCCTACTTCACAGGGTTGTTGTGAAGATCAAATGACATATGTAAACCACTACATCAATATTAGGTATTTCTTTTATTATTATTGAGAGCAAAAAGAGTACTATTAATAAAATATTTTTGAAATATTTCATCTTTAGACCATCCTTTATAATTTCCATTTTTATTTAAGTTTTATAATATATATGTATAAAACATCATACTAGTACATTACATAATTTATAAATACATAAACACATATGTACTAAATACCACACATAGCTTAGCAATAAGGGGGTACCAGATAAAAAAGTTTAGAGACTACTAGGCCACTAGTTTATATAATTAATTTTATATAATTGAATCAATAGTTCTTCTAAATCCTGTGTAAAAGATCTGCCTGATTGATATCTAGAAGATTTTTTTTTCTTTTTATACCAGTGCATCACTTAGGCTATCCATCTGTTATCCCTAATTCCTAGTACATGAGTAGCCCATCTCTTTTCTAGTCCTTAATGACAGTCTTGATCAGCCAATCAATCAATAAACATTTATTAACTGCTTACTATGTGCTAGGCACTCTGCTATGGGACAGAGGTACAAAGACAAAATGAAATAATTCCTGGCCTCAAGGAAGTTATGTCCTATATGGAAAGTCAACATATACATATGATATAAAGGTCATCCCATGAAGTATGCTCAGAGGTGCACTTCCTGGCTCTGGTTGACCACGTAGGAGGCTTGGGACCTACTTCAGGTCATTTGTCAGCCATCCATCTCTCTCCCCACGATCCCATTAAAGACTTGTGCTTTTAGTCCTTTTAGCAGCTGCTAAGCAGGAAGAACTGACAACTCAGCAAATATTTAAAAGTGATTATCTTTTTGATCAAAGCTCTATTCCCTCCCTACAAAGGCAGGTAGGTAGTTCAGGGCCTGGATTCAGGAAGATCTGAGTTCAAATTTGCCCTCAGACACTTAATAGCTGTTTGATCTTGGGTTTAACTATAAAATGGGAATAACAATAATAACAACTACCTTCCAGGTTATTGTTAGGATCAAGTGAGAGAATTTTTGTAATGCATTTAGTGCAGTGCTTGGGGAGCTAGGTGGTACACGCTCAGGATCCCTACATACTCAGGAAGACACATCTTCATGAGTTCAAATCTGGCCTCAGACATTTATTAACTGTGTGATCCTGGGCAAGTCACTTAATTCTTTTTGCCTCAATTTCCTCATTGGTAAAATGATCTGGAAAAGGAAATGGCAAACTACCCTAGTATCTTTCCCAAGAAAACCCCAAATGGGGTCACAAAGAGTCGGATGCAACTAAAATCACTAGACACTAACAACAACGACAAGATAACACAGTGCCTAGCATGTAATAGGTGTTTAATAAATGCCTATTTTGAGGCAGCTAGGTGGCACAGTGGATAGAGCACCGGCCCTGGAGTCAGGAGTCAAATCCGGCCTCAGACACATAACAGTTACTAGCTGTGTGACCGTGGGCAGATCACTTAACCCCATTGCCTAACAGAAACAAACAAAAATTAAATAAATAAATAAATAAATAAATACATGCCTATTTCTTTCCTCCTTGTTGTGAGTCATGGTATGATTGTTTCAAGTCACTTCTCATGATGTGGTAGGGTTAGGGTGGATGGATTTCCCTATTACCATTCCAGTTAAGGCAGCTGTGAGAACATGGCATCTAAAGGACATGTCATTCAGAGACAAGTCTAAGCTTGGATTTGGGCTACTTCTTTTGTGTTTATTTTTTCCTGATCTTGTGCAAATTAGGCTCTAACCCAAGATGGATTCATCCAGGCTTGAAGGTGACCTTGTGAATTCCAGAGGTCACAGGCCCAATGAGATCAGAACTGACTGGTAGCAAATAGAGGAGTCCCCAGCAACTATTCCAGGTGCTCTTAGATAAGACAACTACTCACAAGAAGCCTGTCCCAAATATAGCCCATTTTAAAAGAAAACCTGGACTCTGGGAGTTATCTGGACAGTACAGAACTGAGATGAAACCTAATCAGGATTCTGTAAACTGCTTTTATTTTTGATGATGTTTAAATGTCAGCCTCCTAAGAGAGTATAATAGTTAGAGTAACCCAATCCTTGTATAATTTGTTCTCTTAATTTGTATTGTGAGGCTTTGTTGTCTATTAGCATTTCTTTTGTATGTAGGTAAAAAAAAAAGCCTATCCCATTACAATGTACATGGAGTAGCTTTTTTTTTATATTTGCCACATTGGGGAACTCCTAGACATTTGAGCCACAAACAAAGCTATTAGTAAATTATCACCAGAGTGGTCATTCAGCAAGCCAAAGAGTATGAGAAAAGTGAGCCTACACTTACCTCATTAGACGGACTTAGTACAGTATCTGGCACACCATAGGCACTTAATAATTGCCTAAACAATTCAGATATCGGGCACTTAATAATTCAGATATCAAATAATTGATATAAATGGATGACCATAAGTTAGTCCCCGTAAGTGGCCAAAAGGTATGAACAGACCCTTTTGAAAAGGACCACAAACTATCAATGACACCATAAGAAAACATTCTCAAAATCACAAATTAAATATAAATTAAAATAACTCTGAAGTTTTACCTCATACTCAGCAAATTGACAAAGATGACCAAAAATAATGGAAACAATGTAGGAGGGGTTGTGGAAAGATAAGCATATTAATAAAATGTTAATAAAGATGTGAATTAATCCAATCATTCTAGAAAATAACACGGAATTATGTGAGAAATATGATGAAATGATTCATACCCTTTTACTCAGCAATCCCATACTGCGCATGCATCTTGTGGAGGCCAAAGACAGAAATACATATGTCCAATATATATGAAAATTTTAATAGCAGTACTATATGTGGTAGCAAAGAATCAGAATTAAAGTGGGTACGTATAAATTGGATAAGCCATAAGCAGGATAAACTGTGGTATAGGAATGTACTAATATCTTACTGTTCGGGAAGAAATGATGAATATAAGAAATTCAAAGAAACATGGGAAGA